ACTAAACCAAGATAAAAGTTTACTATTAGAGTACAAATGTTTCTAGATGCTCTGCTAAACCGTTTATTCAATAATCATCAGATACATTCCATCTGCAAGGGAATGCCCATTATATTTACAACTTCCTGACGGCAGGCTTTCAAAAACTAATGCATTTATATCCCCAGTAAGTGGTACTATACCTAGCTGTAAAAAAACTACCTTCTTTCTGTTACCCATCTTGCTATTTACTTGACAGCATTATTTTGTTACATAGATGTGGGGAAGTGTTCTTATCTGGAACCCACCGGACTGCTCACTTGATTGCAAGAAGACTCATGGTACCCGGAAGAAAATGTCATCTCAGGTATGGATTTTATCATTTTATTGCCTCTTTGATATCCTGGCATGTTCATATGCAAAGGCCACCCTTTCAAGTCTTCAAATACCCTTTTTGCAATAGCATTATTTGTTGAGACGCCTATATGAAACAGGAACTTATGGAGACCCTCGAAATCTTCATTGGACAACTAAGGCAGTTGTTTGGTCTGAAACCATCTTATCTCTCACAAGATATGGACGTGCCAACTAAATTTGTAGTTAGTGAAAAGGGGTTCACAGAATGGTAAATATTTTCTCAAGTGGCTTATTATATTTAGCACAGTACAAAAATCATCTTTCTATGGTGAAGCATAATATCACACGATCTGTAATTTCTATCCCATATTCATTGCCCCATGGGACAACATTTGGTGATAATTATTATCGTTCTGATTACACACACTGCATTTTCTCAAACTGTCAGTACTATAGTTGCATCACATTGCTTGTACCAATACATTGTAGAATGGGACCATCTCACCCTTTGAACATTGAGTGTTAGATCGATCAGAGTGAACCGGGCCTTCACCAAAGGTAGATGATGTCAATGTCTAGATGTTCTAGCAGTTCATTGTGAACACAACTGTTGACAGTTGCAAATCATATGTTTGATGGTATGCATCCACAAACAAGTCTGATTGTCCCATAAGGTTGATTTTTGAACTTTTCAAATTCTAAGTCCCTGTCCCCCAAGAAACGAACATCTAAAGCTCTAATGATCATTTTGTGTTTCTTACTCCCGCCTCTCTTTTTCCCTCACAGGGAGTTAGATTTATTATATCGACACCATGCACGTTCCAGTCTGCTGTCATGCCTCACCACGTTGGAGTCTCTATCCAGTCTGGTAGCCCATCTGAAACCAGTGGTTAATGATATACAAAAGGCTGATCTGCACACGGGCGTCACTAATGTTATTATGTGGCCAGGTCCTCTCTCTCCCTAGAATGATTGTCATGGATGAAATTGGAAGACAGGTTCTACCTTCTACCACTCTTGCTAGATGGGAGCCCATTGATCTGTAAAGTAGTTTTATCTTTGTTTTGGTTATGCACAGTTAAAGCAAAAGAAGTAGTTACATTCAGATAATATGTTTGTTTAAATATTTCACTGAACCTGCATCATATATGTATCCTATGTGTTGTTGTATCTTACCTTGTACTTAAAACACTTGTGCATGGGTTGATCTAATTGTTTACGATTTTGATTATAGCATATGATCAGTTAATAGCGAGCTTAAGCTGTGTTATTGTATCTTACCTTGTACTTGAAACACTTATGCATGGGTTGATCTGATTGTTTACGATTTTGATTATAGCATATGATTAGTTAATAGCAAGCTTAAGCTTGTTCCAACCATTTTCATTTTCTTTTCCAGGTTGAGCTCTCTCTTGAAGCTGCAAATTTAGCTCAGGGAAATTCAACTCTAGGAATAAGTGACTCTTCAGCAGGCAAGTTGACGATAATTTGTTCCTTATAATGTCCTTGCACTTTTATGAACGTTTGCTGAGAATTGTGCTGATGTACAGTATATGCAACAAGAGCTAGGTCATTGGCTGAGGATGCATTTTTCCATCCATCCATTATGTCAATCAGTTATGCTTCAATTGAACACTATTTCGCCATTTACATGGTCAGTATACTATTGCAGACTTGTGTCAGCTTTCCAAACTTTTATGATGGTGCTCATAATTTTCTTTAATCCTGAAAGTAAAGTAAAAAAACCTAGTTATCATTCGATTCTTCAATCATCTATTTTAAAATCTCAGAATATAGCTTACCAATCTGCAACACATTTTGTCAAACTATAGAGTGGCGAGATGACAACTGTATAGCATACATCAAAACCCATGTGCATGTTAATCAGTACTACATTGAAAAGGAATTCCTATTGAAAACTCCATACTTTCTGCAGCCATTTTTCGCACCAGTTTCCTTGCATGTGCTTCTGGCGGCAATCAAAGAGCTAAAACGTTACAAGGCAGAGCGAGCAAAATATTCTGCATTTCTTGCTTCCCAGGCGACATCCTCCTGATCTGGTGGTGATTAGCACGGATTTGCATCAGAAAAGTCTGAACATTTATATGAAGCTGATGGTCGCTATTGGTACTGCACATAGTGGAGAGCGTGCAGCACTGCAGCGTCACTTGTTCTGATGCTCACGGAAATGGTTAGGATGTCCAGCTGATGTCAGGCAGAGAGCTGTACTTATCATGGGGTCAAGTGCTTGTAAAGCTAGCTGCATGCTGTAACATAGTCAAAATTTCTACCACTTGAAAAGTTCTTGTAACCCAAATTTTGTTCTTATGTACCTCAATAGGTAGCGTGCCCGTACGTTGCTACGGGACAACTAAATCTTTTATACTAAAAACACACGGATCGTACGATAAGATAACAATACTGTTAAATTAAATGCCGACGTTAAAGTGACATTTAATTCAAAAGGCAAAGTTCGTGAAATTAACACAGTCACGGAGAGCGCGACGTCGTAGGTTTATAAACTCTACTGTATAGACTTTTCGTGATACGGTTAAGATAATATTTTATATCGGTAGAAAGAATTCTACGATATCTATTTTTTTCGTGCGTCAATAAATTTATGAATAAGTTCTACTGCATCTTCATATAATCATGTACACACAGGTTCGAGTATATATGTAAATAGGTTTATGCCCGTGCGTTGCTACGGGACAGCTAAACTTTTGTACTAAAAACACATGGATTGCACGATAAGATAACAATACTATAAAAGTATACGACCGACGTTAAAGTGACATTTAATCTAAAAAGCTAAGTTCGTGAAATTTACACAGTCACAGAGAGCATAGCGTCGCAGGCTCACAAACTCTACTGTGTAGATCTTTTTGTGATGCGGCTAAGATCATTTTTTATACCGGCAGGAAGAGATTTCTAATATCATTTCTTTCGTGCGCCGACAAATCCACGAATAAGTTCCACCACATCTCCATACCATCCTGTATACGGCGCTGGCAAGCGAATTAGCCACAACTTATGTAATTAGTTTTATAATTAGCTCATGTTTAGTCCTCCTAATTGATATCTAAAAATTCAATGTGACATGGACTAAAGTTTAGTCCTGGGATCCAAACACCCTCTAATTCTCGACTCCTGCTGGCTGCTCACTTGCACCACCGTATCTATGTGTCTGTACGTATATACTCTAATGTCAGAACGTCTAAGATGGTCTTTAAGGTTGTTATTTGTGTATGCTGTAGGATTAGGATGCTTTGCACTAATCTATGAGAGTGTCCATGAGAGTCAAAATTTTTTATGCCATTATGATGTCTAACCTTACCCATCAGACAGAAACGAACTTGATTGTTAAAATATTTTCAACACTTCTTTCATATACTCCCTTTGTCCCAAAATAGAATTCATTCTCGCTTCCCGAGAAGTCAACTTTTTTTTAACTTCGACCAATTATAATACAGGTATTTTTTACATGCATGTGGCCTCAGGAGTCGACCAATTGATTGTTAAATGTTGATCGTATTTTTTATAAACCTAGTCAAAGTTGAGAAAGTTTGACCTGCACATGTCCCATAACGACTTATATTTTGGGGGCAGAGGAAGTATATGCTAATGGGAGTAGTCAACTGGAAGTCGTGATGAACACAATAATACTTTCATATTATATGCTAATTGGAGCATGAAGAAACATATGGAAATGGACCTATATACGAATGGTGGGAATATTCGTTTAGGAAATTGTAGAAGGTTCACCAGTCTCACCATGTATAACCTGCACATCTTTTATTTGACACCACTGATGTTCTCAAGGAGCAGCCACTTTTTAATTTCAGATCTGCATACTGGAAACACTAAAATTAAGGGCCAACCTCATTGAGTCGTCTTGTTCGATCTTTGTCAATTGTTTTCTTCCATACATGATTATTGTTTCCTTCCATGTGGCCTCAGGTGATCGATTTATTTCCTTCAAAGCAGACAGGGATCGCAGGGATGGCAGTTTTTTTTCTATCGCTCGGGGTATCGCATGGCCGGAAGGGAGGAGTCTTGCTTGATCTTTGCCAATTGTTTTCTTCTATGTATGATTATTGTTTCCTTCCATGCATGTGACATCAGGTGATCGATTTGTTTCCTTCAAAACAGGCGGGGATCACAGAGATGACAATTTCTTTTTCTATTACGCGGGGCATCGCATGGCCGAAAGGGAGGAACGATAAAAAAAAAAGTCGCAAAAAAATAATCTTACTTTTAGTATTAGGAGATACGGTCATGCCTACTCACAAGTCATATCAAAGGATTTTATTTTTCGATTTAAAAAGAACGCATATTAAGAATCCAGATCGAAGTTGCGATGGTTAAAGTATTGCTGCGAAATCAGAGCGTCTGACAACTGAACAAACCTGTGTTGCTTTAAGTGTTACTAGTAGTATTATTATGACATTTAGTTTAACAGTGTCAATCATGCAAGTCAGCTCCAAATTTAGCCAACAATAACACAGTGCTTCAAGCTCAGGGAAACGCAAACTGAACAACTTCTTATTTCTTGATACGGTTGAGTCTTGCAATATTTAAAAATCATATGGAGTCTTAATTGCCACAAATACTTTCCTATAATTCAGTACTTGAATGGTGCAGTCAAAATAGGATCTAGGAATTCAAAGGAACTTGTTCAGGTATTCATCCACGGTAGTGTACTTGACATCAGGGTAAAGGTCAGTGGCTTCAACTCCAAAGAAAGGGTCAATCTCAAAGTTGGTGTGGTCCCCCTTCACCCACCCAGAATGGCTGATTGACAGCACTCTGTTCAATGGAATTGGAGACTCTGCAACAGATCAGAGGGTAAAAAATGAGGACAAAAGTTTTACTGTTGTAAGGCTCGAAACAGATAAATGAGGACAAAAGTTGAGCCTGCTATTTTTAGACCTTGAATCTTCTTCAAGACATCGTCTTCTGGAATGTACACCCTTTGAAATGTCTTCCCAACTTTCTTCTCCCAGAGTGAGATAAGCTCATTGTGAGATAAGATGTTGCTTGGTGGCCTCAGATATAGGATCTTATTCAGGGTTCTTGGATCATCTACAGCTTTTATTGTGTAGGTGCCAACATCCTCTTCTGTTCCAAATATTGCTATTGTCCACACAAACAATATATGAATTAACGAAAGTGTATTCATATCTTCCTTAGTTCCTTTCATTGTAATTTGTATACAACCCTACAAGTACATATTGCTTTGATTGTACGACCCACAAAAAGGTAAGCTAGTACCCTAGCCAACAAATTGTAATTAGTCTTACCTTTCACATTTCCATCACCTAAGATGAGAACCTTATCTATTGGAAGGCCTGTAACCCCAATCTGTCCAACAGCTGGCAAGAAACGACCAGCAAAGAAGTTGGAGGATATATACGTGTAGGGGATCCCCTCAGCCTCTACGGCACGCCTTATACTAGCTTTGGCAGCAAACACCGATTTTGCAGGTTCAACCGCATGCACATGATCTACATCATTCCCAAACTCCGATGGAAAGAACCTCTGGAAAATACCGCAACATTACACAGTAGCATATACAAAAGCAAACCTTCAACATTTACACAATATATTTGGATTTAAATCAGTGAAGCTTGTGAAGCCAAAAGGCAAGGACTGCCTGGTGGTCAAAAGAAACAAATAGGAATGCTCAACACGATCTCAGAGAAACAAATAAAAAAATCAATTAGCTTGCATTTCAGAGCTTTCATTTTTCCTGTGTGGAGTTGGAAGACGACGAAAGAGACAAATATACATAATCGTAACATTAAAATGTCCACAACAAACTAAAAGATATACACAAATGACATTTTCCATTGAGGTACAGTAAGTTACCTTTATGTTTCCAGCATCTTTTATTGCTGAGATAATGCGGGTTTGATCTGGCAGCTGTGCATAACCCACCGCCGAGATCACAACATCTGCAGATTCCATTGCCACCACCAAGCTCTCATGGTTGTACAGATCCCCCTGATGTTGTGGCATAAATTTATCAATTACAACTCTGTGGAATCAAACGTATCATTATAGTGACGATAACACATAGAATGATTATTGTACTTATTAGCATTACATTGATTGATTTTAATACATGTAGCAAAGATAGCTGCATCAGTGTAAAATATAAACCAGTGGCAGTTCAAAAATCAGCATATAGATACGTGTACCACCGACCTTTACCAGAGCTATGGTCCACACAAGTTACCAAATCTCAAGTTTTGTCCCATTACAAATTAGATACTTAATACTGAGAATTATTATTCAGTAGCATTAATGCTCTGAATCTGAGCTAAGGTCAGTATAGTATGCAAAGGGACTAATATATGATGGTGATTGGATCAGGAATGGTAACGCAAACGCAAACGTAAATAGAACACTGTGGTAACGTTAACAAAGCATCTTAAAACAGACTTTGTTTGTTTCACTTGCTGTAACAGTAATGGGAAAGCTGGAAGCAATCTCGAGAGAGAACGCTGTGATGGCCTGATGGGAGCTGTCAACGCTGTCAATTATCTGATGGCCTAAGATTCTGGACCACATCGATGGCTTCCCATGGGCACAGATGTCGCAGGGCACAGAGTCAAGGACACCAAATAAGGCGGAGCTGCAGAGCGGGTTGACGGGAGACGATCGCGATCTGATCGATTACGCCGGGGAGAGAGTGGTAATAGCTTTGTATAGGCCGGTATCTGATAACTGTGGGACTTGATCACGGGAGGGCTGAAACAAACAAGTAGTAAAGGAATCTGTTACTGTCCGTAACCAAATCATGTTACAGTTTCCTCAACCAAACACTTTGGTACAATTTTGACCAAGGCATGTGTGTCGGGCGGCGGACAGAGAAGCACGGAACCACCGTCACCAAGGCACGCGTGAGGAAGCAGGCAACCAGCGTCGATGCTTTGTAGCTCCCCGCGCCCCTGTGTGACCTGCCACAACGCTTAGTGGATAGGCCAGCGCTCCAGCAGCCGCCGACATCGACGACGCCCAATAGCTGTTTGACGAAATGCTTCCAAGGCAAGCCGTTCACCAAACCAACACTAGGACCAGATGTCCTCGACCCTAGTGTCAAGGGCGTCGAGCCCTAGGGTAGCTGGCCCTCGGCTACGGAGATCGTAGCCTCGGTCCGTCTTCTCCGGCGAGGTTTTGCCCCTCTGCCGTAGGCTTTCGTTGAGAGAGAGAGAGAGAGATTAGATGGGATAATAATCTTGCTTCCCCAACCAATGTGCGATTACCAGAATATATGGCCACCGGCCTCAACCGATCAGAGCTACATGCTCCTGGAATTTAGGAACTGAAAATAGAAAGCTACGCTATCTTTCCTAACTTAGCCACTGGTGGTGGCCTGGCCCTGCGTGTCACCGTGCGCGCTCCCCGCGCGTGCTGCTTGTTCCGCAGCCTTGCGTACGTCACGGGCCCTCCGGCGCCTGGTGTACATGCGCCCCCACATGACATCTCTCCCCCCCTCGAGGAGCAGCTCATCCTCGAGCTGGAAGGCCGGATACTTGGCGACGAACGGCTCCACGTCTTCCCATGTAGCCGAGGCAGGCGACTCCCCCTTCCACTACACAAGTACCTGGCGCACACCTCGTGCCAGGCGCGACCGTACAGCACGTTCCGGCTCTGGAGCGGCAGCACCATGGTGAATGGGCGGCAAAGGCGGTGGAGCATCCGGCGGCGGTCCGTTGAACTTTCTGAGGAGGCCGATGTGGAAGACATCGTGGAGACGGGCCCGAGGAGGAAGAGCCAGGCGGACGGCGACCTCATTGATCAGCTCCGTGACGCGGTAGGGGCCGAAGTACCGAGGCTTGAGCTTGCCGGTGACCGCCTGGGGTAGTGACGCAGCCGCGCGCTGGCGTAGACGGAGCAGTGCCCAGTCGCCGACCTGATACGACACGTCGCGGTGCGTCTTGTCGTAGTGCTTCTTCTGTAGCGCCTGAGCCTGTTCAAGGCGATAACAAATATCCGCCAGGAACTCCTCGCGCTCCTCCATGCTCTTGGCGACGGCAGCCACTCGCGTGTCCCCCGGTTCATAAGACCGGATGGATGGCGGGTCACGCCCGTAGACGACGCGGAACGGCGTGTCCCACAGCGAAGTCTGGTAAGCGGTGTTGAAGATGAACTCCGCCCACGGAAGCCATCGCAGCCATTGGCGCGGTCGATCCCCGGTGAGACAGCGCAGGTACATGATGATGACGCGGTTGGCGGCCTCAGATTGCCCATCTGACTGGGGGTGGAAGGCGGTGGTCATGTGCAGCTTGGTGCCCATCAGGCGCATGAGCTCGCGCCAGAACGTTGAGGTGAAGACCGGATCACGGTCGGACACCATGGACTGGGGAACGCCATGTAGACGGACGATGTCGGTGAAGAATGCTTGGGTGACGGACTCGGCGGAGTACGGGTGCGCCAAGGAGATGAAGTGGCAGTACTTGCTGAATCTGTCCACCACCGTCAAGATGACCGACTTGCCCCGAACGCGAGGTAGAGCTTCGACGAAGTCGAGGGCGATGTCCGTCCAGACCCCCTGCGACACGGGCAGCGAAAGGAGGAGCCCGGCTGGGTGCAAGTGCTCTGACTTGTACCGCTGACAAGTGGCGCACGCGCGCACAAAATCCTGCACAAGCTGCTTCATGTTAGGAAAATGAAAGTCGTGGCGCAGTCTGTGCAGCGTGCGCTGGACTCCTTCATGTCCATCCTCATGGACAGCGGCCATGATCTCCTAAACGAGGGGGGACGTCGGGGGAATGTACAGGCGCCCGGCGAACTGCACCATGTTGTCGACGACCGTCCACGGAGCCCCGCGGGAGCCCGCGCGCACTTCGTCCTGGATAGCGACGAGGGCCGGGTCGGTGAGCTGTGCCTGGCGGAGACGTGTGACGAAGTCGAAGCGAGGGGCCGAGAGGGCCAGTATGGACCCTTCGTCCGCCGTGTCGCGTCGCGAGAGAGCGTCGGCCACCGCGTTCCCCGTCCCAGGCTTGTACTCGACGGAGAAGTCAAAAGCCCAAAAGCTTCCCCACCCAGTGGTGTTGGGGGGTCGTCGCGAGCCGCTGATCGAACAAGTACTTGAGGCTGTAGTGGTCCGTCTTGACGAGGAAGCGGCGGCCCCACAGGTACGGATGCCAGTGACGGACGGCGTGGACGAGGCCGATGAGCTCCCGCTCATAAGCGGCGAGGGCGCGATGGCGGGGCACGACGGGGCGGCTGAAGAACGCAACCGGGTGGCCGTCCTGGACGAGCACCGCGCCGAACCCATGCGACGAGGCGTCGCACTCGACGACGAACGTCTTGGCGAAGTCCGGCATGGCGAGGACCGGGCCCGAGGTGACCGCGGACTTGAGCGCGTCGAACGCCGCAGCCGCCGCCTCATTCCAGGAGAAGCCATCCTTTTTGAGGAGGGCTGTGAGCGGCGCGGCGATGGTGCCGTAGTTGTGGACGAATTTGCGGTAGTACCCCGCCAAGCCGAGGAAGCCACGCACCGCCCACGCCGAGCGAGGTACTGGCCAGTCGTGAATGGCCTGCACCTTGGTCGGGTCCATGGCGACGCCTGCCGCAGAGACGACGTGGCCGAGGAACGCGACAGAGGCGACGCCGAAGGCGCACTTGGCGCGCTTGACGAAGAGCTGGTGTCGCCGAAGCTCGGAGAGGACGACGCGGAGGTGACGAAGATGATCCGCCCATGTCTTGCTATAGATCAAAATATCGTCAAAAAAGACAAGTACGAAGCGACGCAGGAATGGCCGGAGTACATCGTTCATGAGGGCTTGGAATGTCGCCGGGGCGTTGCACAGCCCGAACGGCATCACCAAGAACTCGTAGAGGCCGTCGTGGGTGCGGAACGCCGTCTTGTGGACATCTTCCGGCCGCATCCGCACTTGATGATACCCCGACCGCAGGTCTAGCTTGGTGAAGAACCGCGCGCCGTGGAGCTCGTCGAGGAATTCGTCAACGACGGGGATGGGGAACGCATCCTTGACGGTGAGTGCGTTCAGGGCCCGATAGTCGACGCAGAATCGCCATGAGCCGTCCGCTTTCTTGACGAGGATGACCGGCAAGGAGAACGCCGAGTCGCTGCGGCGGACGATGCCCTGGTCGATCATGGCGGCGCACTGCCGCTCCAGTTCATCCTTGTGGGCCGCTGGGTACCGGTACGGGCGGACTGCCACTGGCGACGCGCCCGGCTTGAGGACGATGCCGTGGTCGCGGGCGCGCTTGGGGGGCAGTCCCGTGGGCTCGGCGAAGACATCCCCGAAGGAGGCCAGCAGCTCATCGAGGAGGGGCTCGCTGGCCGTCGCGGCGCAGAGCCCCGGCGCATTGGGCGTCGACACACCCATCCAGCAGAAGTTGCGCCCATGGCGTGTGAAGGACATGGTGCGCTCGGCGAAGTCCCAGACGATCGGTCCCAGGGTGGCCATCCACTGAGTTCCCAGGACCAGATCGTACCCTGCAAGTGGCATGACAAAGAGATCGACGTGGAAGTCAGTGTTGTCGATGGTGACCGGCGTGTTCCGGATCACGCCGGGGCAGGCGACCTTCTCGCCATTGGCCACGGTCGCCGTGAGGCGCGGTCGGGGCTGGACAGGCAGCCCAGTACGCAGCGCCGCCGCCTCAGCGATGAAGTTGTGGGTGGAGCCACTGTCGAGGAGCGCGATGAGGGTGGTGGCGCCCAGCGACACCTTGATCTGCATCGTGTCGTAGATCGGCACGCCTGCGACCGCGTGCAAGGAGAAGACCGGCGTCTCCGTGCCTGGTGTCGCATCCCCCGCGGCGTCGTCGTCGGCGTCATCTTCTTCCACCACGCTGTCGAGGAGGAACAACTGCTTGCAGACGCGGTTGTGCCCACGGCCGTACTTCTCGTCGCAGTTGTAGCATAGGCCAAGGCGGCGGCGCTCCTCCTGCTCCACCTGTGTCAGCCGCTTGACGGGCCGGCCTTCCACCGTGATCGTGGCCGGCGCGGTCTTGTCGGTCGTGGGTGCCGGCAGAGCGAGGCATGCCGCTGGTGCTGGCAAAAGAGGGCGATCGCGCTGAGGATCGCGTGGGGGCGCGCGCGTGGCCGGCGCGACGTAGCTGTTCCGCAGCTCGATCTTGCGGGCGAGGCTCATGGCCGCCGCCAGCGAGTGAGGGTTGTGGATCTCCACATCGTGGCTCAAGGGAGGCTGGAGCCCCGCCGTGAACAGCTGGACGCGCTGCACATCGTCCAGGCGGCCGGCGCGAGGCAACAACGCCTGGAACCGGTCCTGGTACTCCTCCACGGTCCCCGTGCGGTGGCACACGGCGAGCTCGCCGAGGGGGTTGGAGCGGAGGGGCGGACCGTAGTGAAGATGGAGGAGCTCCTTGAAGTGGCGCCAGGAAGGGGTCCCCTCGTCCTGCTGGACTTGGTGGTACCACACCTGGGCGCCATCCTCCAGGTTATAGGATGCCATCCACACCTTCTCTTCCTCCATGATTCACTGCTGATGAAAATAGGAGTCGCAGCGATTGAGAAAGATCAAAGGGTCAGACTTGCCATCATAGCGCAGGAAATTCATCTTCTGGAATTTCGGCGGCCGGTCGTTGTGGTGTTCGCCGGAGCCCGGCTTGCTGCCCGAGGAGGACGAACGATCGGAGGACAAGGCGGCGATCGCCTTGGTGTTGGCCTCCGCGGTGGCCTGCAGGGCTGTGACGGCAGCAGCGAGCGACTCCACGGTGGTCTTGAGGTCGCCCTGATCACCCATGGCGTGGATGCAGGAGGACGCGGTGGATGGGGACGTGGGGGTGGTTGGCGCGGCGGCTGGGGTCGGCGAGGTGGAGCGAGATGGCGAGGATCGCCGGGACCGTGATACCAGGTTGTCAAGGGCGTCGAGCCCTAGGGTAGCTGGCCCTCGGCTATGGAGATCGTAGCCTCGGTCCATCTTCTCCGGCGAGGTTTTGCCCCTCTGCCGTAGGCTTTCGTTGAGAGAGAGAGAGATTAGATGGGATAATAATCTTGCTTCCCCAACCAATGTGCGATTACCGGAATATATGGCCACCGGCCTCAACCGATCAGAGCTACACGCTCCTGGAATTTAGGAACTGAAAATAGAAAGCTACGCTATCTTTCCTAACTTAGCCACTGGTGGTGGCCTGGCCCTGCGTGTCACCGTGCGCGCTCCCCGCGTGTGCTGCTTGTTCCGCAGCCCTGCGTACGTCGCGGGCCCTCCGGCGCCTGGTGTACATGCGCCCCCACATGACACCCAGAGACCTATAACAAGGTGGAAACTTTATCCTTGGCCATGTCTTGCTTGTGTTCTCAATTTCAAATCTTCTATCTAGATTTTCCCAATCTAATTTGAACGTAGACGTTGCAGCCGGCATGAGCAAAGAAGCAACTTCTCAAACTCTCAACCAAATCAAGGATGCAAAGAAAATCGCCTTGACGCACTGGCGGCGTCAGTGGCAGCACGGTACCAAACCCCTTTCCCAACTTCCCTATGCCTTCTATGTTGTAGCTAAAGGATGTGCTGGTGAAGGAGCATGCGCTTGTTGCAATGACAGAGCTTGCCATGGAGCCGAGTAGGGTGATTAGTACCTGTGCTTTGATTTCATTTTTTGCAGGCAAAAGGGGGCGATGCAAACCTGACGAATGGATTTTACAAGCATCCAATGCACAAGGATAATGCATGTCAAGAAAAGCCACATGCAAGCTTGATATCTCTAGGTGAAATTGTTACTGTCAAATGTTATTCAGGCTCAGTCCCAAATATTTTTCCCACCAAAAGGATCAGTAACATTGTTTAATCTGCTGACAGCTGCTAATTCCATTTAGCAGACTATCTTGAACTATTATGATTAATATAACCCATTGAAGCTTTACAAAGTTTCTTGGTTTAACTGAGCATTAGTTCAAAGGAAAGAGCACTAGAAAACCTATTGAAGTACAAATAGTATTAGGGATGCCATAGTATTAATTTTCTCAAGTGCTGCTGGACCTCGAGTTTGCAGATCTTATCCAACCAAATGAGATGCATAGCCTCACACAGCAGGTGAAATTGCTGTTCTCTTGTTAGTACGTTCTGAAATGAAATGATGCAATTGTGATATGTGGTTTGGTCCAGTTTCCGCTCAATTTGAGCTTAGGGAAAAAATAAATCACTGGAAGACTGATAAGTTGCGTATGTGCATAGTCTCAGTCTATTACATATTTAATTAACAAAACACACAACAACCTGATGCTATCAAATTAGTTTAATATAAAGTTCATTTATTTAACTAAATCAATTGCAGGTTATTGCCTTCAGGGAGAAGAATCCTATATTTTTTAGTCATCAAATGAGAAACATGGAAAGAGAAGGTACTTCATGTATAAATGTGATTATATTCTTAATATTTTAGTTCCGTATTTCAACTGTACTCTGTTGAATACAAATAATAGTGCCAAGTACAAAAAGAAACAATGTGTACTGCCTTAAAAAAGGCTGATTTATTCATACAGATGACCTCAATTTTGCAGCCCAGATCAAAATGAAATTTATATATTATTCTGGCTGACAAACCAGTGCCTCTAACACATCTAGTAATTACCAAGCATATCTGTTTCCATAGTAAATACATATCTTTTCATGGATTTTTAGCTTAAATTCAAACAAAACTACAGGGGTTAAGCTCCATTCATCCAACATGACGACCACGAGGACAACAACGTGCGCCATTGGCACGGGGCGAGGGTCCAACAAAAAAAGTACGATGCTGGTGCTGGTAGAATGTGCAAATCAATTCAATGAGGTTGTGGCAGTCCGTCATGCTGAACCTGAAGCGGGTGGTTCTACACACCCTGTTCTACTACAGCAGCATCACTACTACTGAGTGCCCCAATATAATGTTTCAATTGAGATTTTATTAAGATTAAAACTATCACTTCAACTTTAAATACAGAACCATGTATATAAGGTCATTCACTATCACTCTTCTATTATGTAACACATATGATAAAATATATGCTCCTAAAACCATGATATAATACGTGTAACAACACCAATATTTAGCTTGATAATGTTTTCCTGTATATTCACTTATTCAGTATAGAGTATACTACTTTCCTGTCTATTTTTACAAAGATCCTTAACTACACTAACTTGATATGAGAAAGAAAACATAACATAATGCTATCAACCTTCCAAACTCCATTCTGAAACCCAATGGCAATTTGGTTGGAAGCAAGTTCATTCTAATTATATGAAATAGCCTCTACTTATATCAAATAGCCAATATCATCTTTATTCGCAACATAAGGTTTCTAATTTTCCATTTGCCAAAGCATGTTCAGTCTTCAGTTAAAGTGAACCCTGTGTTTTCTGTTCGAAATTTATGAACATTATCAATATTTCCTACATGGAACCATAACCATCTGCACATCTAACAGTATACATAGTATGGCTGCCCTTCATGTGGCAAAACAGACAAACACAAATCCAAGGAATAGCGCCACTTACCTCATGAGCCTGTTACTTTGACCACTGACCAGGCGACGGTGAGAACAAGGAAATTAGCCAAAGAAGAGAACCATATTGTAGGCATGTTTTTTGAGCAAATTTGGCAGATTGCTTAGAGGTTTGCAACATATCCTAATTAAAGTCTTTTCCATTGATCCGCTCTACAAATTCTTTTGGTAAGCCTTAAAATTTTAATGCATGTTGGTTCTCTGTCGTTGTCTTTGTACGCTCAGAGTTTAGCATTTCCCATCAGCAAGTTCCCAACTTTGGTCCTATACTCCTATCAGTAGAACTAAAAATAGGCCATCTCAGTTGGATCCCTCTTCATTACAGATTAATCCAAAAGAAGTAGAAGCTTACAGATCCTTTTTACAGAATTTATCATTTGATTAATTTTTTTCATTATGTTTTGGTCTAAATTACTTCGTATCTATTTTATTTTCAGAATCTTGGTGTGCCACAACACATTGAATAAGGAATAGAAGATTAGAAGATGTTGAAGATATAATTACGACTGCTATTTTCAAAATGTGTTTATTTACTTATAACGAAGAAGTCTTACATTAGGTGAAATATTTGGTTGATCATCTGTATCATAGTCTCAACATATATGCGTCAAATTGTTGCTATCACTGAAAGTCATCTTAAGAGCCATATTGGAATTATTATATAACACATCCTCTACCAGCGACCACTTTACTTTTTTGGGGATTAATTGTCATATAAGTAGACAGTGGCAATAGCACAAGAGAGCAAACACACACAACAAGAAGCTTCCCACGGATCAGCTCCCCAAATCCAACTGACATCCATGGGCTGGTGCCCTCTGAGGGGGCGTGGCAAAGCCGCGCGTCTTTCTAGTTTTGACCAAAGATTGCATCATCATGGACCGAGACACGCACAGAATCTAAGATCAAGAGAAAGGGGAAAGTAATGGAAACACGAGCAGTAAACCTTGACGAGGGTGACGCCGGCGTCCCGGAACCCCTGGAGGACGGCGGCCTTGGCAGGGTCGGCGGGCGCGGGGTCGCGGACGAGGACGTATGTGGGATGGCCCTCGCGGGCACTGGCGGCGACGATGAACCGGCCGATGTAGCCCGTGCCGCCTATAACCAGCACCCGGCTCCGCTCCTTATGCCCCGCCGCTGACGACATGTCCGGTATAGGAGTGCAAAAGCGCGGTAGAACTCAAGAGCTAGGCGCGCGCTGCTCCCGCGAGGATTGGGTTGGATCGTAACCCCAGGCAGCCAGCAGTCCGGCCGAAAGACGGTGAGGGGCTGCTTGCTCGAGAACCGGGAACATACATGCGGTGAATCTAACTCATCTTGCGATGAAAAAAAAAACACTAAACAAATCTTCATTAATTATTAAGTGTGGGACTTTGTTTAGCGACATCTCTAAAAATTACGAGGCTGGCCGTCATAAATGCCATCGTGCGTCATGAGTTCGCAGATTTTGAAAATTTTCAAAGCATCTTAAATATTGAGTCGGTCAAACTAACTCAAGTATAATCAAATTTAGAGTAAATAAGAGCATCTCTAGAAGATTGGTAAAACAACTCCATATCTTTCTTTATACTCAAAATTTAAGTTGTTTTGGACATGATTTAGTATACCAAGGAGTGATTAATTATGATTTACTTTTCCCTATTTGCCCTCATTAAATAGGGTAGGGGTTTCACATATTCAACCATCTTTCATAGCTGGGTTGGCTAGTGCAGTGAGGCCTGAGTCACGAAGTCTAGGGTTTGATCTCTCTCTTGGTGGGAATTTTTGCGTTTTTTTTTCCTTGCGCGGATAGTTGTGTGCCTGCATGAAATTTATTGGTGGGAATTTTTCCGATTTTTTTCCTTGTGCGGATAGCCGCGTGCCTGCTTGGCGCTCGCTGCATGGCGCTCGACGGACTCCGGATGCGCGGACTCGACGCAACTCGACGGACTCCGGCACGATGGACTCCGGATGCGCGGCCGGCGTAGTCTCTCTCTCTCCTCTCGGATGCGCCGCGCGAGGAGACGCAAGTTAGGCCTTGTTTAGTTCAAAAACTTTTCCAAAAAGTGCTACAGTAGTCATCACATCGAATCTTGCGATACGTGCATTGAACATTAAATGTAGACGAAAAAAAAACTAATTGCATAGTTTGATTGGAAATTACGAGACAAACGTTTTGAGCCTAATTAGTCCATAATTAAACACTAATTATCAAATAAAAACGAAAGTGCTACAATAGCACACTTTTCAAAATTTAGCCAACTAAACAAGACCTTAATATCCTAGGGACTTGTTAGCGGCGGGACACGGGAGGGATGGAGGTAAAACCGTCCAAAACGTTGTGGTGGAGTGCTAAATGACTTGATTTGTGAAACTAACTGAATAGCCGGAACGACCTATTTTTTTTAAGTACTGAGGAAGTATTTTATTAAAAAAAAGGAAAAAAGTCTCTTTAAAAATAAAAAATTATCAAATATCTTTCTCGGCTAGATTTCCAAAGTTAAGACAACTCTGTCCCCTTGGACTTGCTTTCACGGCACTTCTCGCGTAGCCCTTTGGTCCAGCCGCCGCTGGTATGTACCTGCCTCCATGGCCGCCGCCGGTCAACGCCGCCCGCCCAGTGCTTGCCTCTGCCGGTGTTTTATTGATCTTTGGTTCGAACTTCGAAGGCATGGCCTGCTGCCTTCACGTGTGCATGGCCTGCTATCTTCACGTGTGCTGGCCGTACGCAGCTGGCCGAGCCAATCGTTGGGATCGGATCAGTGCTCGCGTCAGTGCGGTGCTGAGAGTAGAAGCAATTTTCTTTTTAATTTTTTTATGAACAACACAACAAACCAAAAATAAATAAATATGGGCCCTGCTATAACTTTTAGAAAGTTATTATAGGGACTGTTGAAGAAGAAGAAAAATTAAGGTTGTTATTTCTTTTGTTAACTTGCTAAATTGATTAGTTTAGCAAGTAAATTATACCAAACTTCTGGAGATGCTCTAATATTAGCATTTATGTTTCCATACAAATTTATTATGAAAACATATTCTATAACTATTTTAATGGTTCTTATTTTGTATTATGAATGTTAGTACTTTTTATACAACTTTAGTCAAAGTTCAAACTATTTGACTTTCTCAAAATGCGAGAATTGTATTTTTTTATGGACAGAGAATATTGTGGTCAACACTATCTACAACATTTTAATTGACAATATTTTTTATTTAAAATTGTTTAGAGTCTCGAATATTCGTTTTATGTTCTGAAATCCAAATTTTTGAAATTTTTAGACGATATAGGATGGGCAAATGTTATATACCAAATTTATAGTGCTTGACTAGATCTAAAACTCTGTAGTTAAAACTTTTTGCATTTGAGATCATTTAGTGGGCAAAAATATTATTAAATAATGCTAGCAACTTCTAGTGAAAACCTACGCAGGCTGGTTTCTACCGACAACCCAATCGAGCTGGAAAAATCAGACCTAGAGCAACCCTATTGTGTTCCTTTGTAACATCTACTATTCAGCACCTCTTGATGAGATTCATCAACATTCTAGGTGGTCATACCGGTCTAGAGCAGCCATATTGTGTTCCTTTGTAACGGGTCTTCCCGTCAGGTATTCATGGCTCTTGGGGTAAAAAAAACAAGTGTCTACACCGCATGGCCGGCTTGCTAGTCAGCCTTGCTGATTTTGTGTGACCTCAGCATATATGCGGGGCAATACTATGGTACATCCTTTACGTACTAGAAGGTAATATTAAAAAAAATCTGAGCCATTGATTTTTGGATTTTATGAATTATTAAATAGATTAAAGAAATATAGAAAAACAAAAAAACTTGGGGCTCTTGTGTTTGTACCCTTGTTTTGTATCAAAATTATGATTTTGCTCCTTTTTTTTTTGACTTTGTGAATTTACGCCTACTGTGCTATTCACGAAGCACCAGTTTGCTCCTGCTCCGTCATCCACCCCTAACGGTGTTAAACTTTGTACAAAAGACATGAATGCTCATGCGATTTTGCCCCTTGTTTTTATGCCTAATTGTGATTTTGCCCCTGTCTGGCCGAGGCTCGGTTGCGTGCGGCGCGGGGTCGACCGTCCGGCCATGGCGCGGCCACCGGAGATGCGGTGCTGGGGCCTAGCCGGAGAAATTTGGCGAAGAACAGAGCTACTCCAATCAAACACAAGGCTCTGTTGAACTCGTTAGCTGGCTGCTCTGCTGGCCTGAAGAAACAGCGCCGCCGGCGGGAACTGCACAGCGGGCGGGGACGGAGCTCCGTGGGTGGCCGGGGATAAGAGGAGGGCCATGGCCGGGGATGAGAGGAGGGGCGGAGGAGAGGCGCGGCCGACCCCGGCAGCCGGCGGCGGGGACACACCGGCGGAGAATGGGAGCCACGGGGATTTGCTCGTCCGTCGAGATGCTCGAAGACGCCACCTCCAGGCTGCTCGTCCATCGAGCACACACCGGAGCCAGGGACGTCGGCGAGGAAGCATCGTCGCCGAGTTGCTCGTCCACCGCAGACTCCTTTCTTGCTCAGATCCCAGGCGAGAGCGCGAGCAGGATGGGCGACCCTCATGGATCCCAGGCAGGACAGATCCAAGACAGGCGGTGGAGGGCTGCGGCGGCCTGGGGGACGGCAACGAGCAGCCGACCTCGTGGCCCCGGGGAGCAGCGCCTGGGTGGAGGGCGGCGGCGCCTGGGGTGGAGGGCGCGCCTGGAGGAGGGTGGCAGCGCCTGGGGTGGAGAGCGCCTCGCGCTTCGGAGGAAGCTTCAGCTCTCACGTGGAGGGAGCTCACGGGAGGAAGCTCAGCACAACCCTAGCCGCAAACGCCGGGACGAAGCGGGCACCGAGTGTGGCGGAGGGAGGAGGAGACGCGCTGGGGGCGGGGAAGGAGGAGGAGGATGAGCCACACCGGGGAGGCGGGAAGGAGGAGGAGGAGCTGCCTGGCCAGCAGACGAGCCCCCGCCGCCAGAGCCGTTGCCGCACATCACGGCGTGCAGGCCGCCGCTAACGCCGCCACACACGGGATGCCCCGACGCCCCGTCGATCGCAAATGCCGCCCGTGAGAAAGGCACAGTTTGAGGCTGAATATAAGGATAAGGGGCAATTTGGTCTTTTAGCCTTTGTTTTTTCATATTTTGAATTTTTTTAATTCATTTATTCCATGACCATCTGACGACATCCAAACCAGGGGCAAACGGATAATTAAATTCAAAATAGCAAGGGCAAAATCACAAAGTTAAGAAAACAAAGACAAAATCACAATTAGACTCCTTCGTAAGGACAAGAACACCATTTTCCAAAAAAAACTTCCTCCGCATGCCCCTAAGCATATGAGCACTTTTGGGAAGTAAAAGCGTGCAGTTGGCTTCTTATGGGTGTCTTATTTTTGGATGCCACTGATGAGATTGTTGGGCATCTCTTTCTTCTGACTTCGCATTAGAGCTGCTGGAACCTGATTAACCTCCAAGCCCCAATTGATGGTACTCTTTTCAGTATTCTAGAAGCTTTCAAGCAACAGCTGAAAATATCCTTCTTCATGGACGTCATAAATCATCATCATCATGAGTTGGAGCATCTGGCCTTCCAGAAATGATTTGATCTTCAGAGGTCTTCCTCCAAAATACTTCTGAGTACTCAATACTTGTCGGTGCAAAGATCACTTCCTGAAAGAGCTAACTTTGCTTATGGATAGAACAAAGAACAAACATATCTGTCAACTTCAGTTACGGATAGGAAATCTTATGTAACTTATCCGAGACTTACGTGTGCACAAAAGCAAATTCAACCAAGAAGGTGATATGAACGGGTTCAAGAATTGGTGATTAGCGCACTCTTAGGTTTCCCGTACATGCAACAGATCGAGATCTCAAGGAAGAAAACGTGTAGCCTGATGAGTCACTAACCCAGCATATGCTTCAATTCCATTTGAAACAGTTGTTTTGATCCAACTCAAACCAAATGTCACACTCACACCATAGGAGCCAGCATGGGACTACGTACTACAGCCAAATAAGGTACATGGATACAGCATCTATATGCCTCTCCATACGTACATATTGAACGCCTGGAGGCTGGAGACAAATCCGATGCAGGCACATATATATGTGAGATATGCTCTACTCCTCTGTGGCTGCAGGCTTCTTCCATGCCGCCCTGACCGGCCTAGCGGGGC